TGTCGGTCCACAATAGATGATTTAAGCTTTAAGAATTAAGAAATTGACCAATTATAATCGAATATGAAAAGAATACTCGACTATGATTAGTCAATTTCTTACGGCTTAAAGATTAAATACTTATTGTGGACCGACACTAACAAACCAGCAAGAAAAAAGCATCATGTGCCGCTGGCTTTACTTATAATTTGTTACTTATAACTTATTATAGAATAGCCTTTGTAATTAAGACTGTCTTAAGCCGGTGTCAGACGAGATTAAAATTGAGATTAGATTGGAATTTAAATTTAATTAAAAAAAGAAAACCAATCTTAAGTTTAGTGAACTTTGTTTGGATTGATCAAATTCTGGTTAGACAATTTCTCGAAAAATGGAGGGGATAATGTTGGTATCAACGAAATTCTTTAAACAAAATAATTTTAGTTTCTTTGGATTAGTAGCACTGCTTACGTAGTAATTTGTTGGTTTGGTTATCCTTTTTGACATATGCGCGGGAATAAGTACGTAATAAATATTATATATCAGGATTGAAAGATATCTATTAGATTCAGAAAAAATTAACGGAGACCGACTGAATTTGAACTTGGGATCCCTCGTCTACCAATCCGACACTTAGTCTGCACGACCAACGACGGCTCCTCTCTGTTAGCTGTTTATATTCCGAATCTCTTTCATGACCGCTTACGGTCGTCTAATTCTTACAGAATGTAAATATAAAATATAGTATTTTATTAAAATAAAAAATTAAAAAATTAAATAAAAACAAATGAGTAAAAACATAATAAATGACAACATAAAGTGAATAAGGTGAAAAACAAATAGATAAATAATTACATACAATGTAATATTTATAATTGTTTTTCTACTTTATTCACTTTATGTTGTTGTTTTCTACTTATTATATTTTCACTTATTTTATCTTTAATTTATCTTATTTTATTTTAATTAAATACTATAATGTATTTTATATTTACATTCTGATATATAATATTATCGAATAATACTTATTACGTATGTACATGCAGAGAGAAGTCCGAGAGTGGACATGTACATGATTTACCTGTAACCCTGTAACTTTATTTTGAAGCGCTTCTATATCCATAAAAACATTGAACTACGTAACTAATGTCCATGATTCTGTAGGTAATGTCTATAATTGCGTAGTTCTCATTCGTCCACGTTTTGTTCCGTGCTATATGCAGGAGTGACAGTTAGATAAAGAGAGACGATCAATTTCCATCCTTGTCTCACAATCAGAAATATGTCGTATTGATTATTTATCACAATTTTAACAAATTTCGTTAGTTATAGCAAACTTTTATGCTATAATTTCTCTTGCGTTTTTAGAAACTAATCAATTTGTAAAGGCCTCCACCACTCCCGCCAATTTCACTTCTTGGCGGTCCTCTTTTCTTTATATGCATATTTTAAATTTTCTTATATTTATTATTTTTTATACAATATAAAAAAAATTATTACAATATAATACATAATTCAATAATATTCAATAAAAATACAATAAAAATACAAAAGTTTAATATGAAAGAAAGAAATGTCATAACACAATACAATAATATAATACATCATAATACAACATAATATATCATAATACAATAAATAATACAATTTGTATTGTTCGGTAACAAAAATTGTTATTGTTCAGGCGGAATATTTATCGAATAAAATCTGAATTTGTGAAAGCCTTCCATCACCAATTTTAATTGGCCAACATTATCCCCTCCATTCCTCTTTTTTTGCACGCATGTTTTAATTTATTTTAATATTTATTAATTATATACAATTAACAATTTTGATACCAAATAATACAATCCAAAGTTACAAGTTATATATTTTTAATGCATTATTTACAATTAAAGAAATCAATACAATAAACCGAGATATATTTAAAGAACAGAATATAATAGATAGATTTATATATATATATATATATATATACATGTCACGAAGTTAAATTCAGAAAAGAAAATTATTAAGCGTTTAAAATACTAACCGAATGTTATTTATTACATTTTCTTTTTATTACATGTTCTTTTTATAATTAATAGTTTGAACAGATTAACAAATTTTTGAATTATTAAATTAAATAAATTCTTGAACTATTACCCTACCTACCCGAATTTTTTAATATCCCTACACTCGATTGAAGATTTTATATCTCTACCTACCTAAATATTATTTTTAATTAACATTTATTAATTTTTTATAATTACATTTAAATATAATTATATAATATAATTATATAAAAAATATAATAATAAATATAATTCTATGATAAATTTATTTAAATAAAATTAAATAAATTCATCATAGACTTATTAATTTTTAAACTATAATATTTCCTTATTTAATTCTTTCCCACCCAAATTCTTACCCACCCGAATTTATATACATAGAGCTACAGTATTATAATACTATCTATAGATAGTACTTTCTATAGTGCAGACATAGAGAACAT